CAGCGTTAGCCGGGCCAGGATTCCCATTTGAACAACCGTCAAAGTTTAACTTAATGTAGCCAACAGGTGGGGGCTGCCAGTTGTTATGTCTAATAGCCTTTCTCGGTTGGTGGTAAAGAATGTTCTCCCATTGACTATGGAAGAAGTTCTTTGGAATGCCCGTGAATGTCTGATGATTGGAAGCCCAAAAGGAGACCAAGGTAGTGATCCTGTGAAAGAGAGTTGGGGTTGGTAGTTTGATGCCTTTTTCTATTATTCCTTTCAGCTCATGTAGTATGGTAACCTCTACAGTAGCTTTCCACAGAGTTTTACCAGCTTTCGGCCAATGGGAGTTCAGGTCGTAAGAGATAAGGGCTTTGACCGAGGATGGTGTGACCCATTGGATACCGAACAGTTATATTACCTTACCCAACAGATCATATGTGACATTGCAAATAAGGAAAAGGTGAGGGTTAGATTCCTCCTCAGAAAGGCATAAGGAGCATCTATTGGGGATGGGGATCACCCTTTTTTGGAGTTGGTCCACCGTGAGGGCTCTGTTGGATGCAGCAATCCAGTTAAAGGTTTGCACCTTGGGTGGTGCAATCATTGCCCACGCTTTTGCCAAGGCTGATGACAGGTTGCCAGGAAGGGTAGGGGCTTGAGAGAGGCTCTTATAAAAAGAGGCAACTGTGAAGAGGCCAGTAGGAGTGAGTGTCCACACCATAGAATCAGTCCCATTTAAGGGAATGAAAATTGAGTGTAGCGCAGCCGAGAGAATTTGGAAGTGCAAGGCTTCCTCGTCAGTGAGGTGCCTTCAGAAAGCAGGGTTCCAGTTTTTGCGGCCCCTAATTAGCATCATTTCCTCAGCAACGGTGGAGTGTTTGTTTGTGGCTAGTGAGAAGAGGGTTGGGAAAGCTTGGCTCAAAGGGGTATGACCCAGCCAAAGGTCAGACCAAAAAAGTACCCTATCGCCCGCCCTTGGTTGAAGACGTACCCATTTTTTGAACTGTGGGAGAGAGGTAAGGATAGATTTCCAGGCTCCTTACGCTTTCGGCCACCGTCTATCATCATGCAGCCAAGCGCATTCTGGGATTTTATATTTACTTCGAAGGATTCTAGCCCAAAAGGAGTCTTGCTTAGTAGCAAGACGCCACCACCATTTCCCGAGTAAGGCCAAATTGTGTTTCCTAAGGGTTCGAATCCCTAGACCTCCAAAGTTTTTAGGTAAGCATATGTTTTCCCATCCTACCAGGTGGAATTTAGTCTTCTTTGCCTGCCCTGACCACAAAAAGTTTCGCATGAGTTGTTTTTGGCGATTGGCCACCTGAGCAGGTATGTGGAAGAGGGACATGAGGTACAACAGGGAATTGGCTAAAGTAGCTTTGATCAAGGTAGACCGACCTGCCATAGAAAGATATTTGCCTTTCCATCCCGCCAGCCTCCTATCTACCTTATCCAGGATATGAGACCAGAGTCTCTTTTTTGGTCTACCTAGTCCTAAGGGAAGGCCAAGATAAGTAGTGGGAAGGTTCTCTACTTTACACTCCCAATCTGGGATGAAGTTTCTATCTTTGGAAGAAGATAGGCAACTCTCATCGTTGTAGATTTCTTCAGGTTGACTTTGAAGCCCGTAGCTAACTGAAAGCACTGGAGGAAGAGCTTTAGGAAGTCGGCTTCACGGGTTGAGGCATCAAGGAAAACGAGTGTGTCATCCGCATATTGCAGATGAGACACCATAGGGCCTTGCAGGCTGCTTTTGAAGCCTGAAAGGATATCCGCCTGGTAAAGACGGGAGAGCGAGCAACTGAAGACTTCAGCTGTTATAGTGAAGAGGAATGGAGAGAGAGGGTCCCCTTGGCGGAGCCCCCTCGAGGATGGGAAGTATCCTTTTGGGGATCCATTTATAAGGATAGAGAAGTAAGGATGGGAGTAACAACCCCTCATCCACGTCCTCCACCGGTCCTGAAACCCCATTCTAGCCATGGTTTCCTCCAAAACCGACCATTCGACATGGTCATAGGCTTTTTCCCAATCAATTTTGAAGATAAGGCCAGGGCGCTTGGATAGGTGTCTCGAGTGGACTCATGGGCCACCAGTGCCCTGCCAAGGATCTGCCTTCCTTGGATGAAGGCAGTTTGGGGTGGAGAGATGACATAGGGGAGGACCTGTTGGAGTCTTGAAGCCAGGACTTTAGCCAAGATTTTGTAAGAGGAGTTTAGCAGGCTAATTGGACGAAAGTCCTTAATCTCTTCTGCCCCTTCCACTTTTGGAACAAGGGCTAGGAAGGTAGCATTAATCACTATCGGTATCTTAATCCTACGAATGTATCTATGACCTTCGCCCTCATTTATACTAACGGTTCCTTCTACTGCTATGTTCCCATTGTGTTTGTCAATAATTTTTGAAAATTAACTCACCACCTTTCGTTGACCTCTTCATCCTTCACCAAGAAGACCCTTTGATTCTCAGTCTTAATGCATTTAATATGGTCTAGATCCCTACACTTTTTATCTCTCATTTTTGCTAATTTGAAGACATTTTGTACACTTTTTCTTGTTCCCAGTTTATTGCATAGATTATCATATGCCTCAAGTGTAGCCTTGCTTGCTATTTGGTTAGCATTTTTCTTAGCCTTTTTATATTCGTCTAAGTTTTGATTATTTCTATCACATTGCCAAGTTTTATAACATGATCATATTTTGCTAATAGCCTTCTGAACCTCATTACTCCACCATTACGTTTCCTTATCGAAAGAATCTCTCTTTTTAGAATAAACCCAATTCTAACCTATCCTTTAGAAGGGACTTTCCTCTGATGAAAATATGATTGTAGTATTTCACTTCTCATGTTGCAAAGTTTTCGAAGAAGTCATCCTCTTAAGAACTTGGGTAAGTATACTCAATGTTTAAGAGGGTGAAAAAGGGCAATTTCGAGTCACTTCTAAGAGAAAACCTTTGAAAAGATAACATTTGAAATATTTTTTGAGAATGGAGGAAATTGGTTACTTTATAATTCCTGCAAAATTGAAAAGGATTTTAAGCAAATGATTTTTAGACATAAAGTATCAAAAACAAGGAACCAAAATGGTAGGGGTGGCAATGCGTCGGGTACTGCTGGACCCGGACTTAGACCCAAAATATTATATATGTGTCAAGACCCGGACCCGGACCTGGACCCGGACCCGGGCCCGGACCCGAATGGGTCCAAAATACCCATACCCATACCCAGAAGAAGGATGTGGACCTGGGACCTGTACCCGTAACCACCCCCAGAAATATTAAATAAGTTTTTTGGGCCTGACCTGACCCTAAACCCAGCTCGACAATATTAAACCACCCAAAAAATATAAAAAAAGAAGATTAAAATTTTCTGGCTTTGATGCTTTGACATAAACTGGGTAGTCCTCTCTGTTTTTTTGGCAGGACTTGCGTATTCTGTTAAGAATTTCCGTTGATTCTTTTCATGTGCTGATGATGATTTGGTGCTGTGGAAGAGTTGAGAAGACGAGGGTTCTTTACTATGAAGAAGGGACCCGTGAGCTTGTCTCTTCTCTCTCTAGGAAGCAAAGTAGAGCTGCAAAGGCTAGGGTCTAGGGTTTGGCTGTTTGTGGACTTCAAATAAAGAGAGGGAGAGACCGAGACTCGGAAAGAGCTCAAAGAGACTAAGAGAGGTAGAGTTGTAGAGGACCAGAGGACGCTAGGGTTTGGATTGGTGGTTGGGTTTGGGGAACATGAAATGATTTAGGGTTAGGGACTTTGGGTAAAACAAATATGCATCGATGAGAAAAGTCAAAAGTTTAGCGATTGATTATTTTATAGTTAAATTAAGTAATTACTTTTTAATATATCTAATAAGTTTCTAATGAATTGATTAGTTAATAATTAATCATCATTTACCTAAAATCATATATAAAACTAACATATTAATTTACATATAATAAATCCGGTTCGGGTCTGGTTCGGGTCCACTAGGATCTGTACCTGACTCGTGACTACTTTGGGTATGCTAGATTGGACCCGGACCCGACCTGTGGGTCCAAAACTTGGACCTATACCCGGACCTGAGTTGGGTATAACCCCCCGGGTCCCAGGTCGGGTCGGGGTCCATCCACTGCCAGGCCTACAAAATTTCATCAAAATACATAATCTACTCACTGAATTAGAATTCAATCATCTCCATTTCTAGGGGAGAAAGGGAAACATAATCTATATTTCTAGGGCAGAAGGGGAAACATTTTTCATCCTCCATAAAATAGAGATTGTATACATGATGGAGAACTTCCTCTAAAAAAAGTCTCGAATACAGCAGTTGATCTCCTGATCTGAGCATGCAAGCTACTGGGGGATTGTGCTCCAAAGCCCTTCTAAGAGCTTCATCTTGAAAGCTCTTAGAAAACCATGTAGAAGAACCCTCAATGGGATTAAGAAGCCATTAGAGGTTGCGGAAAAGCTTAGGATTTGAGAATAGATGGGAGCATAGGAGAAGAGGGAGGAAAGAGTGGGCGATGATCTTCTAGCAATGGAGGGATGCTGATGCTTTATGGAGAAGAAGAACAGAGAGGGATAGGCACATGATATTGCCAACCCAAACAATCAAGCGTATCGTAGATAAAAAAGAAAAAAAGAAAAAAGGACCCCTTTTACTTTTTCTGTTTGTGATATTGGCATCCACATTGCCACAAATTTAAGTTTCTATTTTTCATTTTTTTTAACAAACAAGTTGATTGCTAGAATGCCCTCCAAGCAGGTTTGGGATGGCATTCAGATGTGTCCTTCTTTTGAGTTTCATAATATGTGCTTTTTCCTAGTAGGGATCGTGCATGGTATTTTCATTGGACAAATGTATCATTCATGACCGTGGTTGTGGTTTTTCATACATCAGCCTGTTGTACTGGGTGTAAATTTATGAAGCAGTTTTTGTCTGGGCAATTCAACTGATATTTTGTTTTTTATTTGTTTTGTTTTCTGGAAATTACAAGGATTCTTAGGATTCACCATAGTTTTGTAATAATGATGCAGGAAATAGATGAACTTTGTGCAGAATGGGTCCCTGAACCTCTTCATCCACCAATTACAGCTGACATGCTTTATGAGCCACCGGTATTGGAAAGGTAAAGCACAATACGTGATTTTAATTTTACTATTTATGATTTTATCTCAAATACATGGATATTTCACCCTTGCCTCATATTAGTCATTTGTTCTTTGCTATGTTACTGAAACTGGGACAGGTGCAGTCCTGTCCAACCAATTGGACAGCAAACCATACATTAAAACGGTCCAGAACTTGTCAAACCAGCCTGTTTAGTCGAATTAAGCTGTTGATGTAGCCTGTCTGACTAGTTCTTGGTGATGGATATTTTATATTCTCTCTTTTTCATTTTTCCAGTCTGATCTAACTAGTGAACAGGTCGGTCCGACCAGTTTGGTTCAGATTGGTGCCCTCACCTATTTTATGACTAGTCTGGTCTTCATGGCATTGGTTTTAGTGCCTATTTTACTTCTGTTGGCTGCTTATAATTACTTGTTTATTTTATAAGTTGTTTCGTGGTGGTTGTTTTTTTGTTGAAATGGATTGTATGAAATATGCTGCTAACTTAGTGACCTGTAGATATTTTATGAAATCATGGATTGTATCAACAAACGATACTCCACTTATTGTTTACCAAGACTTCTGTGTAAGTCTGGCTAAAATGACGTGAATGTGAAAATAGTAAAGTCGACTATACCAAGAATAGTGGAGTCTGTTTTCTTTAATGTCACTCCTGCAGTAAAAATGAGTGGATGCTTTGGAATTTGTGAGGTGTCAATGAAATGGTGCAAACTATCGTATCCCATGCATTATATTCAGCTTTGGAGTGGTGGATTTAATGATAGAAAATTTAATAAAAAACTAAGTGAGTTTTAACTTTTAAGGAAATTGAATTTGGTGGAGAGGGATCTTCAGGGTGAATAGAATTTACTTGCAAGGGTGGATGTGTTGTGCCCTTGCACTCGCTCATGGACTGTGTACAGGCTTAGGAAGGGTAGTGGGCTCTTCTAGAAAATGTACATGGCTATTGACATGTTCATAGTTGCCCTTGCTGGAGTATATGGTAGTTGAAGTTGAACCTCTAAAAATTGAGGTGTGAGATATGGGATTGTGAATGCAGATTAGAGAGAATTGTGCAGGATAGTAGGAACATTGGTTTCATTGTATCTGTGGGCGAATATTATGTAGTATCAACAAGCTCCTATATATGAGGATTTAAAGCCAATCTGCTTTGTTGGGGGATGTACTACATTCGATTACTACCTGTTTGGGTGTTTTTTTAGTCACTCTGACTTTGAGTCCACACAGAGTATACCACATTCAGATATGATAGTAGTCCTTAGCTAAAGGTGAACATAAGAAACAATCATAATGAGCCTGATTTGTGCTAAAATTTGGCAGGGCAGCTGACAATGGTTCTGAGACTTGTGCTTCAAAAATTTCATTAAGTTTGAACTTGGATAGAGGGTCAGGCCAAATTCGCCCTGACCAAATTTGTGGTGTATGAGTCTGGGTGCTGCAAACTTTGAAAGAAGTTGAAATAATAAAGTCCAAATGGGCTGAAACATTGGATATAGTTATATACTGTCAAAGACTCAAAGTGGTGTTATAACCTTGAACTACAAATTTCATGAACACTAGAGCTGATTTGAGGGATGTTCAAAGTTCGCTGCATCCGAGTCTATAATATAAGGACTTGGGTTCGGGGAGCTTCTGAATACAAGTGATAATGTGTTTATAATGCAATGGAACTTCGGATACCCTCTCAAAAGGGCATTATAAGCCTATGAAGAACACAGCTGGACACACTTTTTCATTTATACACAAGTTATATGGGATTTGGATGAATTGCAATGTTAATGTCTGTAAATTTTTCTTTATTTTGATTCTTTTTATTGCTCTGTAACAACATTGATCAAAGGTATTGCTTTTTGTATACTGATTGAATGAAAATGAAACAATTCCTTACAAGTCCTTGAAACTTTTCCACACCCAGCAATAAAAATAAAAAGCCCTCGATTTTCATACAATTTATCATGATTTGGGGACCCTTTGTGTATTTCTCTGGTTTTGTTTTGGTTTGGAGTCATTTTCTCTTTAATCATAAGTACACTTTTGGTTGTATTACTCGCTCAAATCCATCAAGGTAGGTTCTCATCTTTCGGAAAGCAACAAAAATGGCTCTTTGCATCTGGATTTGGACTTTCCTTTGGCTATTGGACTAACGACTGAACTCCCTTCATTGGCAACAACAAAATTCCCTTGTTATGATAGTAACCATACGTGGAATTGGGTTCTAGAATACATAAAAACAATACCCAAGGCTTATGATAAACAAACGAGAAATTTGTTATCCTTATCATAGTTACCGAAATCTCTCACTCAAGGTTGCGTTTCCGATTTGAAATCCTGATTCCGTGATTTTGACATGGAATCTTCATGGAATCCATTTTTGGGAAGCCAAGAATCGCAATTCCAACACTTATAGGATATCGTTTCTAATATTTATTGATTCTCGATCCCACAGTTGTTGAATCTCGATTCTACATTTGTTGAATTGGATACCACATATAATGATACTCTCTCCATCAAATCAGAAACACAAACATAGGGCCATGAACTACAAAATAAACAATTCAGTACTTATGAGAAGCATTAAATCAAAAGCTCGATTCCAAAGATATCGAAATCTAGATTCCATATATGAAAGAATCTTGATTCCATATGGATCGATTCCAAATTGGTCAGAGACTCGATTCCAAAGAGGACAAAATCTTGATTCCATATATGTAGAGATCTCAATTCCATTTGGGTCGAATCGCCATTTTTATAAAGTAGAAATCTCTTTTCCCATAAGTCCCTTGTACGGACGTCGATTCTGAAACAAGAATCTTCTATCTAGCTGCGATGGCAAAGCCGTCAAAGACTTCCTGTCCAATAAAAAGCAGGAGGAAAACCCTCGACGCATAAGATAGATGAATCTTTTACAGATGTACTCATTCACCATTGAGTTCATCAAAGGCTCTAACAATGTATTAGCTGATTTTCTGAGCAAGGAGGATGGAAAGACGAAATCCTAACCAAGGATCCGTCAACAGTCAAAGACGAAATCCTAACCAAGGATTCGTCAACAGTCAGAGACAAAATCCTAAACAAGGATCTGACAACAAAGGAAAGCAGCCACTCATAAACAATGACGGAAGCAAATGGTCAAGAGCGAATAACCAATTTGCGCAAACCCAGAGTTCGAGAGATATTTCCTATAAAGAAGCTCTAGAATTTCAAAAAGACCTTCACCAAAACTTCCCAGTAGAAACTAAACAAGTTTCTAGCTTCTTCAGAAAACCCGACATTCCAAACAACATTTATGAAGAACTAGATCAGGTATGGAAAAACCATATCTTCGGAAACAAAGCCCAATTTCGAAAACACATGAGTTCACTCTCAGACCTGATAAACAATCAGAGTCGAAATTTCGAAAAACTCAAAGAGAAAATATTTCTATCCATTAAACAAATGGATTGGAATGAAGACTTCTCTTTTGAAAAGATAAATTCCTTTCTTGAGATTTCACAACTTCTCGACCATCAAACAGATCATCTAGTTTTCGAAAAAATAAAAAGAATCTGTCTCTATGAAAAGGCTACACAAGTCTTGCCTAGCGACATTTTTAAAAATAACCCAGATGGTGGAAAGAGATCATTTTTCGAAAATTCCAGAACTCCTGGAAAGTAGGTTTGGATACCTGTACCTCGACCCACACCAGAGTATGAAAGTTGTTTGGTATCTCAATTATAATCAAAACTATGATTATGGCGAGATTGTTGGGTTGGGATTAGCTGGAAGAATCATATTTGAACACCTCCAGTCATTGTCCCTCAACTTCATGCCTAATTTCATCAAAAGCATGGTCTACACAGTCTCTAAATCATGGACTCATAATGACCACCTGACCTTTGAAATTACCAGTACCACGGGATGGTATGCCAGAGATAAATTCTACGAGCCATACCAGATTTGGAAATTGAGAAAGACAGAGCAAATGGATTTTTACATCTTTGAGGAAAACCTTGTCACTGTGGATGAGATTAAAAATCTAGATGTTGCCGAATATGCCATAAAGAGTATAATAGCATTCACTAAAAAACTGTACGCTGTTAAATATTCAAGAATGGAAAAATTTACAGATGAAAAAAGACTGTTCGTAACAGACCTTCCGATAGCCTACACAGCTAAAGAAGAGTTAGATATAGATTTAAAAAAATATCTAAATCTCTATCTCATGACAGTACTGATGGATCTCCTCTCTAATCTAGCTAACTAAGCTGAAGAGAGGCTCGAGATTTTCAAAGATACATTGTTGACTAATTGGGAAAACCAGTCCTTTGCCAGCAGTGACAATATGAACAGTGTTGGAAGACACAACATTGCCAATATGATGGAAGATTAAAATAATCTTATATGGGACGACTTGGCTGCAAAATTATCCAGCACACGTGTCCTGATAATGCAAAGACGACGCAAAACAGGATGTCATCAATGACGCAGGCTACAACGTAGGCGTTGACGTCATCAATTCCACCTCATTTGACACCTCTCTACCAAAATTATTGCTCCCAGGATGACTCATCAGTCACAATAATGAAGCCCAAGACACCTCATCTGTTGACTCATCGGTTGACTCATTAGTCGCAATTATGAAACCTTGACACCTCAATCACTGCAATTATTGCTACCTAGACACCTCATCTACTTTTCCTGGACACCTCAGCTAGCTTTTACAGGCCACGTCAGTACCTTTGTACTTTCCGCAATAATGGTGCAACCAATCCATTAATTATGGAATTCAAATGTAATTTGTAAGAATTTGGAGTCCGCCCTCTATAAATAGGGGCTCAGTTTAGTTGTTTGAGACATCGAAATTCAGAGCTCCACTTTGAGTTTGAGCCTTAGGGTTTTAGTTCTAGGTTTCTAATTTCCCATATAAGTTGTTTGCTCAGTTCCTCTGCTTCTTTCCTTTTTAGGGTCAACAAGTTCTCGTTCTTTTTCATCTTCATAGTTCCTTCATGTTGTAATCCG